AGCTCTTCATCTCTGTTGGAGACCTCCTCAACCTGGACTTCATTGTCCATATTACTATCAGCATTTTGGTCACAACATTTTAACAAATCTCTAGGAAGTTCCAGATTTTCCCTCATCTTCCTGTCTTCTTCTGAGCCCTTTGCACTCTTCCAGCCTCTGCCCACTGCCCAGTTCCAAAGCCACTTCCACATATTCAGGTATCTTTATAGCAATGCCTCACTTCTCAGTACCAATTTTTTGTATTAATCCATTCTCACTCTGCTATAAAGAACTTGGTAATTTACAAAGAAGAGGTTTAATTGGTTCATTGTTCCGCAGGCTGTATAGGAAGTGTGGCAGCATCTCCTCAGTTTCTCGGGAGGCCTCAGGAAACCTACCATCATGCTGGAAGGCAAAGGGGAAGCTGGCACTTCTTCGCATAGCCAAAAGCAGGAGGAAGAGGAGAGGTGAGAAGTGCCACACACTTTTAAACAACCTGATCTTGTCAGAACCCTAACATGAGAACAGCACCAAAGGGGGAAATCCACCCTCATGATCTAGTCACCTCCCACCAGGCCCCACCTCCAACCCTGGAGGTTACAATTTGACATGAGATTTAGGCAGGGACACAGATCCAAACCGTATCAATATCATGGCCCCAATTCATGTGATCAGTAGTTTATGTCTGAGGAAGAACTTTTTAAAAAATTGCAGTAGACTTCATTTGCTTAGAGCAGTTTTAGGTTCACCACAAAATTGAGTAGAAAGTTCCCACATATTTGCCCCCTACCACATACATGCACACACACACACACACAACCACCCATTATCAACATGGCCCACCAAAGTGATACATTCGTTACAATGGATGAACCTAAATTGACAAATTATTATCACCCAGAGTCCATAGCTTACTTTAGAATTCACTCTGGATGTTATATCTATGGTTTGAATAAATGTGTAATGACATGTATCCACCATTAAAGTATAACGAGCAGACTCACTGCCCTAAGAATCCTCTGTGCTCTGCCTAGTCATCACTAGGAGGGCCATAAGCCCCTGGCAACCACTGATCTTTTCCTGTCTCCATAGTTTTGCATTTTCCAGAAGATCATATGGTTGGTATCATACAGCATGCAGCCTTTCCAGATTGGCTTCTTTCACTTAGCAATATGTATTTAAGTTTTCTCCATGTCTTCTCACGGCTTGATAGCTTATTTCTTTTTACTGTTGAATAATATTCCACTGTCTGGCTCAGAATTTATTTTTGCTTTCTCAGAGCAAGAAAGATGTTTAAAATACCCAACACTGTCCTAGACATTGAAAATAAAAACAAAAATGGCAGGTTTCCAGGCCTCAAACCACTTTAAATCTAGTCAAAGATTGTAAATCAGGGTGGTAAGTGTTGTATTATTTAGCATATGGGTCCAATTTATATAAGAGAGAACTGACATTGATAAGGTTTATGCAATAAATTCATTTCTCGCTGTCTCTTTTGAGACAGGGTCTTGCTTTGTTGCTCAGGATTGAGTGCAGTGACGTGATGTTGGCTCACTGCAACCTCTGCCTCCCGGGCTCAAGCAATCCTCCCGTCTCAGCCTCCTCAGTAGTTGGGACTTTAGTCCTGCACCACCACACCTGGCTGCTGCTGCTGCTGCTGCTGCTGCTTCTTCTTCTTCTTCTTCTTATTATTATTATTATTATTATTATTGAGATGGGGTTTTGCCATTTTGCCTAGGCTGGTCTCAAACTTCTGAGCTCAAATGATCCACCTGCCTTGGCCTCCTAAAGTTCTGGGATTACAAGCATGAGCCACTGCACCTGGCCAGTTTATTTCTCTTTCGCTTAAGTATTTGAGCTGACATGGTGGCTCTCCTTTGCAAGTCATCGAGAGCTCCCATCCAATTTCTACATCCAGCCAACCTAATTTCCCGAGCTGTGTTGTCCATCTCTGTGAAATTTGCCTGGGTGTCTTAGTCCATTTTGTGTTGCTGTAACAGGTTATTTGAGATGAGGTAATTTATAAAAAGCAAAGATGTATTTCTTTTTCTTTTTTTTTTGAGATGGAGTCTCACCCTGTTGCCCAGGTTGGAGTGCAATGGTGAGATCTTGGCTCACTGCAACCTCCACCTCCTGGGTTCAAACGATTCTCCTGCCTCAGCCTCCTGAGTAGCTGGGACAGCACCTGCCACCATGCCTAGCTAGTTTTTGCATTTTTAGTAGAGATGGGATTTTCATCATGTTGGCCAGGCTGGTCTCAATCTCCTGACCTCATGATTTGCTCACCTTGGTCTCCCAAAGATCTACGATTACAGGCATGAGCCACCCCACCCAGCTTAGAGCAAAGATGTATTTCTTAAGTCTGGAAACTGGAAAGTCCAAGATTGAGGGGCCTGTATTTGGTGAAGGTCTTCTTGCTACATTATCTCATGGTGGCAGAAGGTAGAAGGGTAATGAAGCATGGGCAAAAGAGTACAGGGGGAGAAAGAGAGAGAGAGAGAAAGAGAGACAGAGAGACAGAGAGAGGTTGAACTCATCCTCTAATCAGATTCGCACTCCTACAGTAATTAACTCAATCCCACAATAACAGTATTAGTCATTCATGAAAGCAGAGCCCTCGGGTTCTAATCACCTCTTACAGGTCCTACCTCTGGACACTATTGTACTGAGGATTAAGTTTCCAACACATGAACTTTGGGGGACACATTCAAACCATAGCACTGAGTGTCTGTTTCTTGTAGGACATTGGCAAAAGTGGGAAGATGCATCCAGCACACTGATGTTCTGACATTTTTTTCTAGCTACTTCCTCTAATGCAGCAGTTCTTACCTAGGGTCAGCTCTTAAAAGGGACATTAGGAAGAACATGGGGATGTTTTTGGTTGTTGTATTGACTGAGCATTTCATGTGTTACAAGCAAAAATACTGAACATCCTGAAATGCCCAAGGCATACTTGAACCACAGCAAAACTGCTTTACCGAAAATTCAAATATGATACATATTTAGAAACACTACCATAGAGCTATAGGCTCTGCGTGGATGTGGTCTAAATTTTACGGCATCATATGGTGACAGTTTTACCAAATGTTGAGCCAAGCAGAAGAGTCGCCAGTGTTACAGTCTGCAATATGCTCATCACCTGTTGCCTGACTGCCACTGCCTCTTGTTATAGGTTTTATTACAGTATCATCTTACTTCTAGGTACAAATTATGTATTAGGATATCAGTCCTGCTGCTGTAGTAGTAAACCCAAAATGGTTTTAATAAGACAGATTTATTTCTTATGTCCAGGCTGGCTGCTCTACTTGAAGACATCAGGTGCCTAGTCTTCTGTCTTGTAACTGCTATTCTCAATGTATAGCTTCCTTAATAGATTCAGTATGGTTACTCCAACCCCTGGCTTCATATTCAACTTCCAGTAGAAGTGATGTTTTAGGGGCATAACCCAGAAGTTTCCCTGTCGCTTCTGCTTGTATATCATTGGCCAGACCTAGTAACATGGCCATAACTACCTACAAGGAAAGCTGGCAGTTTAACCTTAGCGACACTGTGCCTACATAAAAGTTCCATAACCATGAGAAAGAAACAGAGATATTGGAGGCGACACGATTTGGCTGTGTCCCCACCAAAATCTCATCTTGAATTGCAGCTCCCGTAATTCATAATTCCCATGTGTTGTGGAAGGACCAGGTGGGAGATAATTGAATCATGGGGACAGTTTCCCCCACATTGTTCTCATGGTAGCAAATAAGTCTCATGAGAACTGATGGTTTTATAAGGGGCTTCCCTTTTCTCATTGTCTCTCTTTGCCACCATGTAAGATGTGTCTTTTACCTTCTGTCATAATTGTGAGGCCTCCCCAGCGATGTGGAACTATGATTTCATTAAACCTCTTTTTCTTTATTCATTACCTAGTCACAGGTATGTCTTTATCAGCTGCATGAAAATGGACTAATACAGGAAGGCAAATAGTTTCCACTCTAAGTGTTAAGACAAATGTACGTACAGAGTATTGTATGAGTGTGGAAGAGACTAGTGGGTTGCTAAAGGCTCCCTAGAGGCTCTTGTCCACCCTAAGAAATAAAAAAATTAGAAAAAGAAGAAATTACATAGTAATAAGATTCTTCTAACTGAATCAATGTTAGTCATTTTAAAATGATGTTACATACATTCAAATATGAATGTAAAATTCATTATTGTAAGCCCAAAATACACATTGTTTGGCATTACAGTCTTTTTTTTTTGGTCATTCTAAAATCCTGTGATAAGTACTTTCAAAATATATTTTGGCATTTTCATAGAGAATTGGCATTGTCAGGCAAATCAAAATATAATTTAAAGGAAAACAAGAAGTTAGATAATACCAGTGGGACCTTGTATATTGCTGCAGGGAGTATACATTGGTATAACCACTTTGGAAAATTATTTGGATTATTTTATAAAGTTGAATTATCTATGTCCTATGACTCAGCAATTCCACTGCTAGAAACTTTTTCCATTTATCAAGAATGTTCACAGCTTCCTGTTCACAACTGCCGAAAAACTGGCCACAGCCCAAATGACCATACATAGGAAAACTGATAGTGGGTTTCACAGTGGAGCATTGTACTGAAGGGAAAATCAACGAGGTAAAGCTACACACAACACCATGAGTGAATCTTAGTAATATCATGCATGTAATATATGTGTATGTGAAAACACTGAAAAATAAGGGACAGAAAAACAAAATGGAGAATAGTGGTTACTTCCAAGCTATAAGAAGTTAGGGGCAGAAGAGAAGAGGAGCCCATAGGAGACATCAGTTCCTGGTAATGTTCAAGCCTTCAGGTTGGGTGATAAATGTATGGTGTTGTTCATATCATTAAATCCATAAAATAAAAACGGGCTTAGACCAGTGATGTTTAGATGAAAGTGCTACAAGCCAAGAAACATAATTAGATGATTAATCTAGTGTACAGTTCTGTGCCTCTCAAGTTAAAAAAAGCAAATAAACATACAAAAAAACCCTATGATTGTATGCATTTTGCTGATGTAGGCATTATTTAAAAAAAAAAAAAAAAACAAGGCATCGACTGTCCAATATACTAGATCTCAACTTTGTAAGTTTAAAAACTCAGGCTAGCAACTCTGCTTCCAGAGGGATGATTCACCCTGAGCAAAGTCAATGAAGACTGATATGGAACTCAAAATTTCTGCTTTCTAATTTACACTGAAAAATGTAATGGCCAAGTGGACTATAATGGTTATGTTATTCATTCAATAAATATTTATTGGATATAACCTATGTGCCAGACACTTTGTTAATCACTTGGGATACAGTGGTGAATAAGAAATTTTTTACAAGGCTTGTAATGTATTAGAAAGCCAGTTATTTAATAACACAATAAAAATCAGCTGATCAGCCTACTAACTTGCTTTACACAATGTGGAGGAGTGGAAGCTTTATCCAATTTTAAGACTGAACAAATCAATGTAGCCATGTGACCTTGGGTAGGAGGTCTTCACCATGCCTGCTTTACAACATTTTGTCACTTCTGTAGATCAGGACCTCCGAGCTTCCCATCAGTCTCTTTCCAAATGGGAAGCTTACTTGTGGTATCTTTACTTTGTCCCTGATCCATCAGTGTATATTGGTTGTGTTAAAAGAAAAACTTTACACAAATTTGTGGTTTCATTAAGCAAAGAACCATTTGCAAATCGGGCAGTTCCCCTAAACCAGAATAGATACACTGCTGGCACTGCTGTGTGGTTGGAGAGGATTCATGGAAAGAAAAAAGAAGAAAATGACATACAGAAAACGGAAGTGAGATACAGAAACAGCTGGATTGCTTCCAGCTGGGTGTTTGTCTCATGTGAATATGGTTTGAACAGTTGGTTGCCTTTGATTGGCCAAAACATGATGTTTGGTATAAGAATAGATTATAATCTATTTACACATCCAGCTAGGTTAGCATTCACTATATACAGAGAAACCTTTAGGCTGAACTTAAAGTAGGTAAGGAGGCAGCTCTAGGCTACAGTTTATTTAACAGGTGTGTCATGGGTGGCTAGATATGTTGACTTTTGATTCCTAGGTTGCTGTACTATGTGGATCTACATTTAAATATGATGGTGACAACAAGCATCAGATGGAGATCCTTCACTTAGATAAGGATGTGGTGTTTTGTATGTGTGGGAAGAGAAGTGCTGTGGATATTTGGAGGCCAGAGTGGCAGCTCCTGGCAGAAATGACTAGCTATGGCCAGATGCAGTGGCTCATACCTGTAAATCCCAGGACTTTGGGATGCTAAGACAGGAGGATTGCTTGATTCCAGGAGTTTGGGACCATCCTGAATAACATGGTGAAACTCTGTCTCTACAGAAATTAAAAAAAAAAAATTATCTGGGCATGGTGGTAAATGCCTGTAGTCCCAGCTTCTTGGGAGGCTGAGGTGAAAGGATCACATAAGCCTAGGAAGTCGAGGCTGCAGAAAGCCCTGATCATGCCGCTGCATTCTAGCTTGGGTGACAGAGTGAGACTCTGTCTCAAAAAACGAAAAAAAAATAAAGAAAAGAAAAAGGAAATGGCTATTTTTTCTCAGCTGTAAAATAGGGGAAACAACTCCTGGGATTGCTGTAAAATTAAATACTATACGTAAAACATAGTCAACGCTGAAAACATGTTAACATGCTTTGAGGAATGCAAATCTGAAGGGTGCTCAAGGAAGATGAAATCAGAGAATGGGGAATGATGCAAGCCAGAAGTAGCTGTCTTTACCAGAAGAATGTATCTGCCCAGCAGGCCCAAGTACTTCTGACAGCTGGTCAGTCTAGCCTCTTTCCTTGCAGTGCTTAATGACACATTGACTAGTTCTCAACCTGTGGCTTTCATTTTTCAATATCAACTACTTGCATCCCCTCTTTTCCCCCACAGTCTTTCTTTAGATGTGTTACGATTTCGATATCCTCATTTTCTTCCTATTTGTCTTCCTAGGTGGCTCATCTGAGAGGTTTTGATGTGTCTGAAAAAATATACATAATAAAAAGTTAGAAAAGCACTGTAGAAATCAGCGCATATTAAAAATATTAGGAGAAAATAGTAACCCGGGGTAAGTTCAGTGTAGAGAATATGTGTGTATTGGACACCATCATGTACAGTGGTTTAAGTTGGATTGCAAATTTGACTATGAATTTTTTAAAGTTAACAATAAAAACAACCTCTGCAACCCATTAGAGACACTGTAAGGAAAAAAATCACACATTTAGTTCAAGACGAAGCCCAATTTATTCAAGGAAAGAGATCCAATTTTACCCACAGGTCCTGCCTAATAGAGAACGTACTGTACCTTCTCTGTTAGGACAACATCCTGACACTAGCTAAAAGAGTTTCTCATCAATGGCTCATAATGTTGTCCTAATAGTTTCTTATCAACATCCTGACACTAATTAAAAGAATGTTTCTTATCAATGGCTCATGACATTGATTACAATGTTGTATTCAAAATAACAAATTATAGTTACAGTCGTTACAGATTCTTGAATTATAGCGAGGCATGCTGGCCCATGCCTGTGATCACAGCTACTCAGGAGGCCGAGGCTGGAGGATCGCTAAAAGTCTAAAAATGCCACCCAGAGAGGGGAAAAAAACTTGCTTTCTAGCACAGACGATCAATCATATGGTTGGTACCTACTCTGTACTACATATTAGGTTGGTGCAAAAGTTATTGCAGTTTTCGTCATTACTTTTAATCGCAAATTTTTTTTGAGATGGAGTCTCACTCCGTTGCCAGGCTCCTGGAGTACAGTGGCCTGATCTCGGCTCACTGCAACCTTCATGACCCAGGTTCAAGTGATTCTCCTGCCTAACCTCTCCAGTAGCTGGGCATGCACCACCACGCCCAGCTATTTTTTTTGTATTTTTAGTAGAGACAGGGTTTCACCATGTTGCCAGAATGGTCTCGACCTCTTGACCTCAAGTGATTCACCTGCCTCGGCCTTTTAATTAAAAGTAATGGCAAAAATTGCAATAACTTTTGCATCAACCTAATATATGCCAAGAGACAAGGCTGCTGAAATAGACCATGCCCTTGAGGATCCACAGTTCCGTGATAGTGGCTTTCAAAATTTAGGGCAAGTACAAGTCATCTGGGGAACAGTACTCCTTATCAGTAAGTACTGGATAAGTGTTTGTAGATAGGAGTGTGCCCAGCCCTGCTTAAGAGATTTATAAATATTCATTCATACATTTTAGTCTTAGAATAACCCTATGAGGTAGGTACTGTTATTTTGATTTTTACAGATGTGAAAACTAAGGTACAAAAATGCTAAGTAATGCTCCTATGGTCACAGTTGGATGCTTACCCAGACAGTCTGACTTCAAAAACAGAGATCTTATCTACTAAGCTATGTTTATAGAAAAGTATATTTCTTAACAGCTAAGGAAATATAAAATGCATGATAAACCTCAGCAGGAGCCAGAGAGGTATGTGAGCATACGGAGAAATTAATGTGCACCGAGCACCAGCTTGGCTGGGAGACTCCCACCCTGGTGGCGCTGAAGGCAATGAGAAGCAAACACCCAGATAGAACAGCAAAGTGGGTCTATTGGGGGCCAGCAGCCTACTGAGCTAAAAGCCTCAGGGGCTGACAGCATTCCAGGCTGAAGGCCCCAAGCAGATTCTCATCCACATATTTAATTCTTTTAAACAGCTGATTCTTATTAATAAGCAGGTGTTCTGTATTTACTCATAACTCAAATATACAAAGTAGGCAGCTGTTATCCGCTTACCACTAATTGCAAACTAAAAGGTATTCTCCACAAGGGAGCCACGGGGCAGGGCAAACTTAATGTTTCTCAACATCTTCCCCCTTCTTTGTTTCAACAACGCTAGGTAAGCAAGTTCAGCTCTCTCTTGGTGAACTGTTTCTTAGAGGATTCTGGATCCGAACCTGCAGACTACACAAAGAAAAACAAAACAGATTAGTAACAATCACAACAGCAATCATAGATCCTCGATGTGTTTGCAACCAGATTTTAGGGCTGGCAATCCATCAGCAGCTTCCCAAAGCACCCCAGAGCCTGACTAACTGCCAAATCTTACATTTCTTCCTTAAGAAGTTGGGACCCGGAAATCTTTTGGAAAAGGGGGCAGAGGTTGTTCCGTAACTACTTCCTGCTGAAAAGGTGCCTCAAGGGTCTTCTGGGTCCCTTGCCCCTTGCTTGCTGTCTAAAGGTCTTTCCAGGTGATGTTTTATTCTCCCCCATCATGTTCAGACTCATTAAAGTTAATGAAGTCAATTTGTAACTTTCACCACCACAAGATATGACGGGTTTAACACAGCTCTGAATCTAAAGAGCTTTTATTTCTTATAAAGTTCTAATGAATAAGAATTAGGGCCTGATTCTCTATTTTATTTTCCTTCCCAGACTTGTGTTGGTTCTAGGGCCATGGGTATTTTTCAAAGTTCTTTTTATTCAGCTTTTAACATTAGCCATACAATTTTTGGGGTGAGTCTATTAATCTCCCATCTCTCCAGAAAATAGAGCTGATCTCGCTAGGTATAAATTCCAAATAATTGTAGTTCTTTGTCCACCATCTGAATTCCATATTACTACAAGATGACTGACTGGTGCAATCAATGCTAAATATCCCCTTAGGGGACCAATAATCAATTATAATTCCACAGGAATTGTTGCGCAGCACCTCAGCCTCTATCACAACACAATCTTTCCAGGTTAATGTTTTTAACTTAGGGGACCATTCCTTATTTTACCTGCATTCAGGTCTTGATGGCAGAAACATTATTTCCTAAATTATTATAGCCAATAACAGAAGGGAAAATATATGCCCAGTATATGAAACTCCCTTTTACTTTTATCCCAACTCCAGAAATACTCACTTTAATCCTAATAACTGTCATCATGATTACCAAAATAGGCTATCCTGCTTTATTCAGGTTTTCCTCCACTCTTTGTGAAAGCTTCTTAATTTGACCCCAAGTTGGGGGTGATGTTCGGTGTGTTCTTGTGGGAACAGTATTCCCCCTCCATGTTAGTCTCACCATCTCTGTGACTGGGGTTCCCTTGTAAGTCTCTTTTTTGGTATCTGGCTCATAGCACAGCTTTAAATGTCTGGATGGTACCCACGCTGGTTGTTGATTTGGACCTGAAGAAACAAGCAAATCCTCCACCCCATGTTACTACATTGCCTTTTTCCAGTTCTTTGTGAATGGATCTCACCACCAGATTAATTGCCTTACAGTTGCTTCCTTGGTTTATTCAGGTGTTGTTCATCTGCTGTTAATTGTCCTCCTCTGGGCAAACTCAAAAAATTCAAAGCCAGCGATTCCAGGTTTAACGGCATTTGTGGGGTTTCATATTCCTTGTCCCCTCCTTTTATCCGTTGCTGCTGTTTAAGGGAAAGATTAATTCACTCCACAATGGCCTGCCTTTGAGAGTTATGTGGAGTACCTGTTATATGTGTGATCTTCCATTGAGTAAAAAATTATGTTAAAGATTAATATGTCCTGGGGCATTATCAGTTTTTATGAAGGATGGAATACCCATAACAGCAAAACATTGTATAAGATGTCTTTTGACACAAGCGGATAATTCCCTAGTCTGACATGTAGCCCAAAGTGTGAAACAGTATCCACGCAAACATGTACGTATCCTAATTTCCCAAAAGATGAGATGTGAGTAATGTCCATTTGCCAAAGTATTTGGCTCTAACTCCTGGGCGTTTACACCCCCTGATTTGGGAGGAGAATTGACCAATTGACAAGTCGGACAATTCTGAACAATCCTTCTAGCTTCTCTCCAAGTTGAGCCATATTTTTTCTGCAGCCCTGCTGCATTTAAGTGTGTCAGTGTGTGGAAATATTGAGCATCAGATACAACCGTAGCAGCCAACCGATCTGCAGATCGATTGCCTGCAGTGAGAGGCCCTGGAAGAGTGGCATGAGCCCTAATATGTGTAATATAAAAAGGATATGTTTTTATACTAGCTTCAGTATTAGCCTCATCAGTCCACCTGGTCCTGAACTGCAAAAATTGAGAAGGCGATAAACACGTTCCGGTTAACATATCCCAGTCTATTGGAATCAGCCCATAAGAAGTAGCTATGTTCTTCAGTAATCCTAGCACAAATGGAGACACAGGCCAGTATTGGGTAATGGCTTGTTTAAACTCCTTCAGCAATTTAAAGGGAAGGGTTCAAAAGCAACCTGTACTTGCCCCTGCCGATCTTCAGGGTGTACAACAACTGGAAATTGCCATGACTCCAAATCTCCCTCTTTTCTCGCTCGTTGAATTCCAGCTTGGAGGGAACAGGTTACCATAGTTCTGGGAGTACAAACGCCCGAACTAGTTACCGTAGTTCTGGGAATACTCAGGCCAACAGAAGCAGAGGTAGAAATATCAGGAGGATCTGACCATCCCTCGACAAGATATTAAGGCTGGGGGGAGGGGACGCTGACAGACACACCCTTTCGTCGTTTGACTTCTCATCCTTTTGCTCTATAATTTCTTGACATATTTCATCATACTCCTCTCCTGAATCATCTTCCTCCTTGACTGTCTGAAACAGCTCCAGGGCAGACCACACCAAATAAGCCCTACGTTTGCGTGATCTTTGTCCCATGTTACCCTAATATTACCAAGCTCCCCCAGCTCACCCTGGAAGATTCTTACAAGAGTTCTTGGGCTAATTCTGAGCTCCGCCCACTAACCCTGCAAGATTTTTTTAAAGAGTTCTTGGGCTTATTCCGGACTCCCCCAACTAACTCTGGGAGATTTTTTCAAGGGCTCTCGGTCTACTTCTGGGCTCTCCCTAACTCACCTGGGACACTCTTTCAAAAGATCCTGGGCTCCTTCCAAGCTCCCCTACTTACCCTGGGTATTTTTTCCAAGAGTACTTGGGATACCTTCAGCTTAGCTTCTCCTCTCTCCGTTGCTCAGGCAACTCTTTGTCCTGGGTTCAAGTCCCCACACTTGGGCACCAGTTACTGAGTACCAGCTTGGCTGGAAGACCCCCATCCAGGTGGTGCTGAAGGCAATGGGAGGCAAAGAATAGAAAAGTGGGGCTATTCAGGGGCCCAGCAGCCTACCGAGCTAAGAGACTCATGGGCTCACAGCATTCTAGGCTGAAGGCCCCTGAGCAGATTTTCATCCATATAGTCTCTTTTAAACAGGTGATTCTTATTAATAAACAGGTGTTCTGTATTTACTCATAACTCAAAAATATACTAAGTAGACAGCTGTTATCTAACTACCACTAATTGCAAACTAAAAAATTCCCCACAAGGGAGCCACGGGGGCAGGTAAACTTAACATTTCTCAACAAATGTGTCTATTACTTATATCCATGAATTCGATATCCATGACCTGCTAAACATACCCTGTTTTAAATCTTAAAGCCCATGACCCAGTAACTATTAAATAGCATTTTAAAAATAGGGTTCATTCAATCCAATAGGGGACTTGATAACAACTCAGACTGTCCACACCAAAAACATTTGTAATTAATTGGGGCAAAGATTGTTTTTCATACTGAGTTGGCAACCACAGTTAAGTGAGACAGTAATTATCTTCTTCAGGTGGATAAGCATTTTTCCACTCCAGAAGATCTTGAGGTAAGTATAGAAATACTTAAGAGAATTGAAGCCATAGTACGAATATTTTTGTGTTAAAAGGAATATGTACATATATGATATTTGAAGTAATTTTATAAAATAATTTGTCCTAATAGAGGGATAGCCTTCTAACTTCAATCTATGTAATTGAATAATTGATTTAGACTTGAGAGTCTAAGGTGGTAACTTTCTCAACTTATGTATGGTGATGGAACAGTTAAGACAATTTTAGTTTCAGCCTATTTGTATACTTAACCTCTTAAGTGTATTGAAGTTATTTAAACTCGGTGGAAGATTCTGTTTGTTAATTCAGACTAAGCAAATCAAGTCTGAAAAATAAAATTAGAAAAATTAATTTTATAAAATTAAAAAATTGTTGAAGCTACTTAACTTTGAAAAAAGGAACTGAATATCATTCAAAGTCTTCTTAGAAATGTCAGACACAAATTTTTGTAAACTGACAACCTGACAGAGAGGAATTTTGAATTTATAACTTTTATATGTTAAGAACCAATTATTAAAACAAAAATAAACTTTGTGAGTAATATCTGTGTACAAAAATTATCTTCCAGAGAACAACAAAGCTCATATCAAAATGATAGCAGAACTGCAAAGGAAACAACAGAGTGAAAAGGCAACCTGGGAAATGGGAGAAAAGATTTGTAAATCTTATATCGGATAAGTGGTTAATAAACAAAATACATAAGGAGCTTCTTCAAACCAAATTACAAATGGGGGTCGGGCATGGTGGTGCATGCCTGTAGTCTCAGCTACTGAGGAGGCTGAGTCAGGAGGGTCGCTTGAGCCCAGAAGTTTGAGGCTGCAGTGAGCTGTGATCATACCACTGCACTCCAGCCTGGATGACAGAGTGAGACTCCATCTCTTAAAAAAAAAATAGGCAAAGACACTTCTCCAAGGAAGACATACCAATGGCCAATAGGACTCAGAAATGATGGTCAACATCGTTAATCCTCAGGGAAATGCAAGTCAGAACCACAATGAGATAGCACCTCTCATTTGTTAGGATGGCTAATGTCAAAATAACAAAAGGTAACAAGCATTGGGGAGGATGTGAAAAAATTGGAAGCCTTGTACAGTTAGTAAGAATTCAAAATAGTACAGCTGCTATAAAAACAGTAAGATGCTCCTCAAAAACCAAAACCAGAAATACCATCTGATTCAGCAGTCCCACTTCTGGATATTTATCTAAATTAAAGTATTAAATTATTATTATCTCAAAGAGATATTTGCATTCTCACGTTAATTGTAGCATTACTCACAATAGCCAGGATGTGGAAACAACCTAAATGTCCACTGATTGATAATTTGATTTAAAAAACATGGTACATAATTACAATGAAATATAATCCAGCCTTTAA